ATCCTAAGGTTAGTTTGAGGGGGCGGAGCTAGTGGGAGATCTTTGGGTGTGACGTAGGAAAAAGAAGGGTAGAAACTTAAAGGGAGCGTCTTGGGGTGCGGTCTGTGTTGCCAGAGGCCTTGGGGTGGCGAGCGGTAGTTAAGGACTAACGTTTAAGGCTGCTGGGGAAGTTACCTGCCCTAACCCACTGTCCTCTCTTCCCAGGGAGCCACTGGTGGGGACCTTACTTGGGCGCCCTCCCTTTCGTGGGGTGCTATGGAGTTCCCAGAACACAGTCAACAGCTGCTGCAGAGCCTCCGGGAGCAGCGGTCCCAGGGTTTCCTTTGTGACTGCACCGTGATGGTGGGTAGCACCCAGTTCTTGGCACATCGGGCTGTGCTGGCCTCCTGCAGCCCATTCTTTCAGCTTTTTTACAAGGAGCGGGAATTGGACAAGAGGGATCTGGTGTGTATTCACAACGAGATTGTCACGGCCCCTGCTTTTGGGCTGCTTCTGGACTTCATGTATGCTGGCCAGCTGGCCCTGAGGGGAGATACCCCTCTTGAGGATGTGTTGGCAGCTGCCAGCTACTTGCATATGAATGACATCGTCAAAGTGTGTAAGCAGAGGCTGCAAGCCCGGGCCCTGGCAGAGGCAGACAGTACCAAGAAGGAGGAAGAAACCAATTCACAGCCCCCTAGTTTGGAGTTTTTGTCCAGCACTTCCCATGGCCCCCGGCCTTTGTTGGCATCCCCTGAGACATCAGGCCATTGGGGCAAAGAGGAATGGAAAAGCCTGACTGCTCCTTTACCTACTGTGCGTCCTCCAGATGAACCACCATTGCCTGGTGGGGCTGACACTACACAGCCTGGCATGGAGGTTGACTCACCACATCTGCGGGCACCTCCACCACCAGTAGTTGATGTCTCTGTTTCTCTTGCCAGTCCCAGTAGCTCCACAGAAACCATTCCTGCAAACTACTTCTCTTCTGGCCTCCCAACAGTTTCAGTGGAACCCCTGACTCCTCTTGATGTGGGTCCTGAGAGCCTGAGGGTGGTGGAACCAAGGGATACTGGAGGACCTTTGCAAGGATTCTATCCTCCAGCTTCAGCTCCAGCTCCAGCCCCAGTTTCAGCCCCAGTTTCATCCCAGGCTCCAGCTCCAGCAGAAGCTGAGCTGGTCCAGGTGAAAGTAGAAGCTATTGTGATCTCTGATGAGGAGACTGATGTAGCAGAGGAACAGACTCAGGGTCCTGAGGGACTGTTCCCACCTGGAAGACCAGTGTATGGAGGACAGCCCTCCCAGCCAGAGGCTTTTGAGGAACCAGGGGCAACAGGACTGGAGGATGGGCCAAGCGACCACTTCTTGCCTACAGACCCTCATCTACCCTACCATCTGCTGCCTGGTCCAGGGCAGTATCATCGAGGATTGGTGACCTCACCCCTGCCTGCACCCCCAGCCCTACATGAGCCACTTTACCCACCTTCTGAGTATGAAGCAGCCCCAGGAAACTTTGGGGTTTTTACTGAGGATGTTCCCACTTGCAAGACATGTGGGAAGACCTTCTCATGCTCTTATACACTGCGGCGACATGCCACCGTGCACACACGTGAGCGACCCTATGAGTGCCGCTACTGTCTGCGCAGCTACACGCAGTCAGGGGACCTCTACCGACACATCCGCAAGGCTCACAATGAGGATCTGGCCAAACGCAGCAAACCAGATCCAGAAGCTGGCTCTGTTCTAGGGGTGCAGCCCCTCCCTGGTTCTCCAACAGCAGAGAGACAGAGCAGTGGTGGACCACCCAAAGATTTTGTACTTGGCTCCAAAAACTAATATCTGGGTGAGCATGAGCTGATACCAGCCCTGCTCTTAACTTCGTTAGATGGCAGCACAGAGGTTGGAAGCATCTTGTCACTCCTGATGGGTGACAAATGAAGGTTCTGCCTGGCCTGAAGGTTCCTACTGTTTTCTTTATCCAGCCAGATAAGCAGGACTTTATGGGCCAGAACAGATCAGCCAGCTCTCCCCAAGGGCACTGGGAATTTTCCTGAGGTGTAATCACTTCTTATTCCACATTCTGGAACATAAAACTAGCAGTGAAATTATCTCTTTGAATTGATGTTGGCTTGTTTCTTCCACAAACTTGTATGGCTTTGTGTCTTTCATCCAGTTCTTCATTTACTTTATTATTATTTATCTATCTATCTATTTATTTATTTATTTGTGGAGCCAGGGATTGAACCCAGGGCCCTGTGCATGCTAGGCAAGCAATACCAAGTGAGCTATATCCCCAGCCCCTTTTTATTTTATTTTTATGTGGTGCAGAAGATCGAACCCAGTGCCTCATGCATGCTAAGTGAGTACTCTACCACCGAGCCACAACCCAGCCCCTTTCGTCCAGTTCTTTAGCTGACATTTGTACTTGGGGAAGGAGTGGGGGCCTGATCACTTATGAGGGAGGAAAAAAGTGAGATAGCAGAAGGCATTGTAAACTTGGGGAATCGTACACAATTATGGTTTATTATTGTAGTTGAGCTCTTGTGTTTTGGGCTGTATTGGGTACTTAATAGAAAACTCATTTACTTCTTCACTTTGTGGTGTATTAGCCACCTATTTTTTTCAGAGGAAACTTGAGGCTCAAAAAAACCCAAGTTAGCCCGGTGCGGTGGCACACACCAGTAATCCCAAAGGCTCAGGAAGTTGAGACCAGCCTCAGCAACTCAGACCTTGTCTCTAAATAAAATAAAAAAAGGTCTGAAGATGTGGCTCAGTAGTTAAGCACCCCGCATTCAATCCCAGGTACCAAAATCAAAAAGCCCCAAGTTTACTTGTTCAAGGTCACAGAGTTGACTAAGGGGCAAATCAGGATTTGAACCAGCTTTTGATTCCAGGCACTATGCGTGATATGCTGGTCTAAAATATTGTTGAACATAGTTAGCCAAGAACTGGAAATTGTTTTCTTGTTCTTTTGAGTGTTTGGTTTTGTTCCCTTGTCACCTTTGCTGTCTGTGTAGAAAGAATTTTGATTGTTTCAATGAAAGACACTGTGTTAAAGACTTGAAAATTCTGCCTACATATTGTAAATATGAACCAAGGTGTCCAAAGATGAAAAATCGAAAGGCAGAAAACAGTAAGTTTCATGACGGTGGAATTGTGGAGGGAGGTTGAGGGCCTGTTGAGATTAGAAATAGTGGCTGCTTGGGATAGCTAAAGTAAGACATTCTGCATGAGAGGATATTACAGTTGTTCTGGTCCCATTCCCTCACTTCAAAAGCATGGTAACAGCACCCTAGAGATGTTTTATTAGTCACCCAAAGTCATATAGGTTGCTATTGTCATTGGAGGGAGCAAAGAAATGGGAATTTAGGGTGTTGATGTCAGATGGGGAAAAAGAGCTCTAGAAATGTAGGAGAAAGGGTCTGCCAGGTAGTGGAAAAACTTATCAGTAGAACTGATTAAGTGTCTCCCTCAGGGACCTGAGTGCAAATAAAGCAGGGTGGGAGGGAAAGGTGAAAAAACAAAAAACAAAAAAAACCCTTTTATCTTTTGGGGTCCATATATCATATGGACTATAAATTCTTCCTAGCAAACTGTTTTGGAATTATAGTAAAGAGAGCTGAGCAGTAAAGACTGAGCCATAGAAAGCCTCTTCACTGCTTCTCAGGTACTCACAGGCTGAAGTAGGAGGATCCCAAGTTCAAGGTCAGCCTGGGTAACTTAGAGAGACCCCATCTCAAGATAAATAAAAAGGGCTGGGGAAGGAGCTCAATTGGTAGAGCACTTGTCTAGCTTATGCACAGCCCTGGGTTTATTGCCCAGTCCTGAAGAAAAACAAATGAAACTTCTTACTAGGACAATATGGGAAGTGAAAGTTGATAAGGCTTAACATTTTCATTGCTAAGTGAATTCTAAAGCCAGACACGGTGGTACACATCTTTAGTCCCAGCTACACAGGAAGCTGAAGCAGGAGGATCAATCAAGAGTTTCAGGCCAGCCTGGGTAACATAATGAGATCCTGTCCCTAAAAATATAAAATTTAAATAAAAATACATATTAAAAAAAATTTTAGCAGTATTAGGAATCAAACCCAGGGTCTAGAATGTGCTAGGCCCTCTATCACTGAGCCTCACCAGTCCGTAAATAAAGTAGTGACTACATGTTAGTACAGGTAGTACAGGGTTCAGGCAAACTGTGAAGGTGGTGGTTCTGAATTTGGGAAACAAAGTTTCTAATTGTCTTACATGTGCCTAAGTATGACCCTTCATATCACCATGAATGCTTCCTGTCCTCATTCAAAATCATTAAATCCTGTGGAAACAATTAAGGTTTGGTAAAGAGAGTGGCCTCCCCCTCCACAAACTTTTGAATACAGAGATTTAGGGACCCCTGGCCAATTCCATCAGGATGCAGGCTTGTCAGAACCCCGAAAGATCTGAATGAGACTGCATTCCTTTGTCCACTTTTCTGTTCATTAACATCTTCTTTGAGAGCAAGCCTCTGAAATAAAACCTGAAATGTAACCTAAGTGCTGTGCTCTCTCTTAGTAGTGCTAAGAAGAAAATTAATGAAATAAATTTCTAAAATGCATTTTTAAATACCAGTTTTATTTTTTCCTCATTGATACAGAAAACAGCTTACTGTAACATTGTTTTTGAAAAAAATTTAAAATACCATAGAACATCATAAAGCAAAACCCCAAACAAACAAAACATGCAACCATGATAAAATTTAAAAAAAAATTTAAAGCATAGTAAGGCGTACTGTATTCATGGGGTCATGTCAATTGGTATAGGAACCACTGTAACCAGGTCTTCCAGTAGGGGATGAAAGAGATTGGACTTAATTTCAACTCCAACAAGAACAAGTAGGGATTTATAATCAAGGAGAAGGGTAGGAATCAGTGGATGGAAAAATTACTACAGGAAACATCAAGGATAACCTGGCTAAACAGACTTGATAAGATTCACCATGACAAAATTTCACCAGTAACCCTATACTTTTTTTAGTTCTGTCTTTGGATTCCATATGATTATTTGGTAGAAAAACTTTCTTCTTTTTTTTTTTTTTTGGTAGAAAAACTTTCTGCTGTAAGCTGATGGTCAAGTTATTTAAAGGTATAGAGAGGAACAAAGAGGAGTTTAATGCACTGGGTTGTTGATAAGGGACGAGAGTGTTTAGTTTTTTCTTTTCTGAAATCTGTTTTGTTTTATGGTTCTATGCTGGATAATGACACATGCATATTACTTCTCCTTACAAAGGTGGAGTGTGTGATGTATGAACTCACCTACTATTTAGTACCTACATCATTGCAGATATTATCCACAATGAGTAAATAGAATGACAAAGGAGCTCCTAGTTGATGGAGCATTCTACTGAGCCAGAATAGCAAAGATCTGCAACCTGCACCACTGCCTAACAGCTTCCAAAGAGTTCCATCAGGTGCTTTCAAGACACTAAGCAATCACAGCTCTTCCTTATTGTTGCCCTCCTCCACAAGGACCTGTGCTCTTACAAAATACAAGGAAAGGTAAAGAGAGTATTAAAGTTTTTATCCTGCTCTACATGGTATTGTTTCTAGAAGACTTGGTAATATAGCCTAAGTTTTTTTTAGAGAAACAAGCATACTATAGATGTGCACCTATTAAAAACTAAAACATTTACTCAGGCATTTTTTTTTTAATGAGAGATACAAGGGCTGAAGAGTTATTACATAAATACTTAAATATATGACTTCAAAACTTTTAAGAGTACAAGCAAAAGCAAGAACTAGAATTACCGGGGGAAAAAGAGAAACTAGATATATTTTTGTGGGGGGGAAAGAATCTGAATGTTCGTGAAATATGAAGAGAAAAAGGAGTTAATTTAAATAAAAATGATTAATTTCAAATCTTTCGTTTAAATACATTTGGATCCAATTTATAATTATCTAGTTCCACAAAAAATATATTTTCCTGTTTGGCTTAGGGTATCTAAGAAAACAAAGGAAGAAACTGCTTTCTGCTTATCCTTACCATTTCATCCTCTGTTAGCATTGTCCTCTGAATATGAATATACCTAGCAATATCTATCATTAAATCTATGCTAGAAATACAATTAATTCCACCTGTAGCTGATGAATGTTTTCTGGTTATTTTTCAAGGCAAACATTGCCAACAATAACATATATTGAAAGTCATGCAAATAAACAGATGGATAGGGAAAAAAAAAAGACAGACACAGATGGTCTAAGTAATACAAAGTTTGTGCAGAATAGTAAACAAAACAGAAATCCATCTGGGTCAGAGGTATACAGTTAATTTCTCTTGCTCAGGCTCAGGTTTCCCCTTGATGGGTCTTTAATGGTTCACCTAAGTTCAAATGGAAGAGCATCATTCTTCTTTTTTAACCAAACATGCCCAGGTACAGCTGCTTCTCTTTCCTATGGTAGCTGCTGAGTTCTGACTGCGTTAGCTGAAGGTACCTCCGGACATTGGCATCTTGGGAGATGATTGAGAAGGCAGTTAAGAGTTAGACCATAATTGCACTCTAGGGTTAGTGAATATATCACAATTATTCTATTCAATAGTAAATTTCATTGATTAATGCCACATTAATTCTTCAAAAATTAATGAGGCACTCTGGCACATGCCTATAATCCCAACAACTCAGGAGGCTGAGGCAGGAGGACTACAAGTTCCAGGCCAGACTCAGCAACTTAGGGAGACCTTGTCTCAAAATAAAATAAAAAGGGCTAGGAAAGTAGCTCAATGGTAGAGCACTTTCCTAGGATGCAAGAAGCCCTGGGTTCAAACCCCAGTACCCAACCCCACACGTAATCTGCTAGGGCTGGATTGGTTGATAATTTTATAATTTTGGTTGATAATTTCATAATTTGATGAAATAGTTATTACCATCATTGCAGAGCTTCTAAAGATACTATTTGCATTGGTGGTACCTAATCTATATAATTGAAAGTTAAGAAACTTTCAATTTATATCTTTATTAATTCAGAGTGGGTTTGGCATGAATTTAAATTAGTGAGATTTGGGCTGGGGATGTGGCTCAAGCGGTAGCGCGCTCGCCTGGCATGCGTGCAGCCCGGGTTCGATCCTCAGCACCACATACCAACAAAGATGTTGTGTCTGCCGAGAACTAAAAAATAAATATTAAAACAATTCTCTCTCTCTCTCTCTCTCTTTCTCTCCCTCCTCTCTCACTCTCTCTTTAAAAAAAAAAAAAAAAAAATTAGTGAGATTTGTCTAGGGACCCTCTCTTCACTCCAGAATGCACAAAAAGGAGACAACTTTCAGTAGTAAACCAACCAACACAGGAATGAGCATGTCATGATCTTCAGTGTTCTTTTTGCCTTGAAAACAAAGTATTAAATCTCAAATTCTCTCAGTAGGCTGTCTCTTTTTCTAGGTCACGCTTGGAGTTAGCTGAGCTAAGGGACAGAATGATAGCTAAAGCACAAGCCAGTATCCAGCTGGAAAGGGGGCAGAATGAGGATTATTAAGGTTATTCAGTGGGATCCACAGTAACACTCAAAAAGGCTAGGGAACGAATGTTGAAGAACAGTGCTTCTCAAATCCCTCTTGCACATAGCAGGGTGACTACAGAAAATGAAAATATACATTTCAAAAGCAAGAAGGGTCTGAAGTTTTCACTATAAAGAAATAATACAGTGAAAGAGTGCTTGCCTAGCACATGTGAGGCACTGGGTTCGATCCCCAGCACAACATAAAAATAAATAAAATAAAGGCATCATGTCCATCTACAACTAAAAATATTTTTTTAAATATTTATTTAGTTAGTTAGTTATCTGCAGACACAACATCTTCGTTGGTATGTGGTGCTGAGAATCGAACCCGGGCCGCACGCATGCCAGACAAGCGCGCTACCGCTTGAGCCACATCCCCAACCCCTAAAAATATTTTTTAAAAAAGAAAATTAAACAATAAAAGGAAGAGAGATGTTCAACCTGATTTAAACATGACATAACTTATCAAAACATTACATGTTGCCAGGTGGTCCACACCTTAATCAAGTGATTTGGGAGGCTAAGGCAGGAGGATTCCAAGTTCCAGGCCAGCCTGGACAATTTTGCAAGACCCTGAGCAACTTAAGGAGATCTTGTATCAAAATTTGAAAAGGGGGCTAAGGGCTGTAGCTCAGTAGTAGAGTGCTTCCCTCACACCTATGAGGACTGGGTTCAATCCTCAGCACCACATAAAAAAATAAATACATAAAGAAATATTGCAGGGGCTGGGAATGTGGCTCAAGTGGTAGCGTGCTCGTCTGGCATGCGTGTGGCCAGGGTTCGATCCTCAGCACCACATACAAACAAAGATGTTGTGTCCGCCGAAAACTAAAATAAATAAATAAATATTAAAAACTTCTCTCTCTCTCTCACTCTCTTTAAAAAAAAAAATGAAAGAAATATTGCATCCATTTACAACTAAAAAAATATTTAAAAAAAATTTTTTAAAGGATTGGGAGTTGGAATGCTGGCTCATGCCTATAATCCTAGTGGCTTAGAATGCTGAAAAAGGAAGATCTCAAGTTCAAGGCCAGTCTCAGAACTTAGGTTCTGTCTCAAAATAAAAAAAATAAAAAGGGCTGGGGTAATAGAGTTTTGTGGTAAAGTACCCCTGAAGTTAAATCCTGAATATTGAAAAAGAATAAAAAGATTGGAGATATTGGACTGACCGGTATGCAGGTCAGTGGTAAAGTGCCCCTAGGTTCAATTCCTAATACCAAAAAAGAAAAAAAAATACATTTTTAAAAATTTAACTTGTACATATGAGCGCTCGCCTAGCAGGTGTGAGGCACTGGGTTTGATTCTCAGTACCACATAAAAATAAAGGTATAGTGTTCATCCACAACTAAAACAAATTTTTAAAAATAAAATAAAAAATAAGGCTGGAGGTGTAGCTCATTGGTACAGTACATGCTTCACATGTGCAAAGTTCTGGGTTAAAATCTCAGTGCAAGCTGGGTACAGTGCTGCACGCCTGTAATTCCAGCAGCTTGGAAGTCTGACACAGGAGGATCGTGAGGACAAAACCAGCCTCAGAAATTTAGTGAGGCCCTAAGCAACTCAGTGAGACGCTGTCTCTAAATAAAATGCAAAAAAGGGCTAGGGGGCTGGGACCATAGCTCTGTGGCAGAGGGCTTGCCTATCATGTGAGGCACTCATTTGATTCTCAGCACCATATAAAAAATAAAAATAGCCATATATTTCATAAGGATATATACAAAATTAATAAAGGGGCTGAGGCTGTAGCTCAGTGGTACAGGGCTTGCTTTGCATGTATAGACACTGGGTTCAATCCTCAGCACCAAATAAAAATAAATACATAAAGAAAGATATATATATATATATATTTTTTTTTTTTTTAGAGAGAGAGAGAGAGAGAAGTTTTTTAATATTTATTTTTTAGTATTCGGCAGACACAACATCTTTCTTTGTATGTGGTGCTGAGGATCGAACCCGGGCCGCATGCATGCCAGGTGAGCGCGCTACCGCTTGAGCCACATCTTCAGCCCAAAGAAAGATATTATAAATGACTAAATAAATAAATATTGCTTTTCTCTTGAAATAAGAACACAGGTGTGGAAGAAGTCTTTTCACTGTATACTTTGTGTACTAGGGATTGAATTCAGGGCACTCAATCACTGAGTCACATTCCAAGTCCTATATTGTATTTTACTTGGATACAGGGTCTCACTAAGTTGCCACGGCTGGTCTTAAACTTGTGATTCTTCTGCTTTGGCTACTGAGTTGCTGGGATTATATGCTTGAGCCACAGTGCCAGGCTAGCAGGACAATTTTATTTGTCCTCACCACTTCAACACCTTTCTCACTCACCTTTAGGCTGCCTATTAACAGCAGCCAGGAGGTAGTGCCGAGCCTGGTCATAGTCTTGCAGATGAAAGAAGGCTACCCCGGCCCGATACAAGGCCTTCGCATTATCAGGCTGTCGTTCCAGGACTTTCTGACTGTATTCTCTTACTCGCTCGTAGTTCACAGGCTCCATCTGAAGGAGACAGGCTAATGGGCCAAATAAAACGTGGAAAGAAGGAGGAAGAAAGCCTTATTATACTGATTCCACTCCAACTTCAGGCAGTATCCAACAAAAATGATCTCAATGTTCATTCATTGAACAAATATGCATGTCTCTCATTTGCCACAAACTCTTACAGGCACTGTAGATACAGCAGGGAATAAAAGGTTTATATGCTTGCAATCTTTGAGATCTGCCAATTGCATTCTTATAGCTAGCACTGGGTTAGGCCCAGTTATAAAACCAGAAAGAATATTCTTTACAATTTTATTTAAAACACTTCTTCATTTTATCTGTTCTACCTATGATTGTGTTCTGAATTCTGTATTTCACCACAGTTCTAGTACTTCCATTTCATTAAAAACAGGGATTGTGGGCTGGGGCTGAGTGGTAGCACTCTTGCCTAGCATGCATGAGACCCTGGGTTGAATTCCCAGCACAAACAAATAATAACTTACAAAAAAAAAAAAACAAAAAACCACTGTTTGTTATTAATTGTGAGGAAATAGCAGAAATAGCAAGCATTGTTCTTTGTGTTTGGTTTACTCTTATCTTCCTTCTTTAATCATCTCATCCACACTATTACTACTTAATGGATAAATAAATCAAGGCTCTTAGAATTTAAACAACTTGTCCAAGATCTCACAGCTGCTAGGTGGAATGATTATGAAATTTGAATCAAATTCTAACTCCAAAATCAGCATCATTCTCAATGACAATGTATCCCTTCAGTATTGGACCATTTAATGGGACTTCGAAATATAAAATGCTTAGGAGGCAATATTTGTCTTTCTCTAATTTTTTTCCCCACTGTACTGGGGATCAAACCCACCGTTTTATGCATGATAGGTAAGCTAGCACTCTACCACTGAACCACATCCCTAGCTGCCCCATCCCTACTGGGTGAGGATTGAAACCAGAAGCCTTATGCACATGAGGCAAACACTCTACCAACTGAGCTATATCCTAGCCCCCCAGTTCCAGCCCCTTTCTGTAATGAAAAGAAGGAAGGGTGCACTGGTGCATGTCTGTAATCCCAGAAACCCCGAGGCTCATGCAGGCTGATTGCCAAGTTGAAGACCAGCCTCAGCAACTAAGCAAGGCCCTCAGCAACTTAGCGAAACCCTGTCTCAAAGAATAAAAAGGGTTGGGAATGTGATTCAGTGGAAAAGCTCTCCTGGATACAATCCCTGTTGCCAAAATGGGAAGGAAAATATATTCCCCATTTCACAATTGTGGGAATTAAGTACACTATTACTAAATTGTGAAGCAAAGATGGATCAAAATTCAAGGATGAGGAGGACATTAAAGGGCCTAGGCTTATGTATGTATCCCTCTACAACATCTCCACCAAGTGGTTGTATGATTTATATGTACATATTCACTCAGCAGTCAACTAATCCATTACCCTAGCATCATTAATTCATTTGACAACTAGCAACTGAACATGACCATGTACTAGATACTGAACTAGGAGCAAAGACAAAAGAAACAAAGTAGACATCTTGTTGATTAAATAAAGCTTATGTGTCCTAATCTGAAATTGGGAGGAATACAAAACACTTTTAAAATTTTAAGAAAATAAAACTGTTGGGATAGATAGTGAATGAAGTTAGAATGCTGCTCAATTACCAAAGGCTTCTCTAAGAAAATGACATTACGGGACTGGGGATGTAGCTTAGTGGTAGAGCACTTGCCCAGCACATGCAAGGTTCTGATTTCAATCCCCAGTGCAGCAAGAAAAAAAGAAAGTGACTTTGGAGCCAAGATCTGAATGACAGGAATCATTCAAAAGACAAGGTATTTTAGTCCTGTAGAGAGAGCCCACAAGTTTGAAAGGGGAAATTTGCTTTCAACTTTCAGTATACGGAGGAGTCAGGTTGTGTTAAGTGCTGTGGGCAAGAGTCAAAATATGGATTTTCTCCTAAATGTGATGAGATGCCAGTGGAGATTTTAGTGACATCATCTGATTGCCTTATCTGTAAAATGAGGATAAGCATTAAGTACTTTGGAGAATTTTTGTAAATAAACTGCTCAAAATGTTATAGGAACTCAATAAATGAAAATTGTTAATTTTGTTTTGTTTTGTTTGTACCAGGGATTGAATCCAGGGGTGCTTAACCACCTAGCCACACCCTCAGCCCTTATTTAATTTTTTTGAAATAGGGTCTCTCAAAGTTGCTTAGGTCACCAAGTTGCTAAAGATGGCCTTGAACTTGCCAGCCTACCTCAACCTCTCAAGACAAACCAGGCCAATTCAATACATCTTTATGGAACATCTACCAAGCATCCCCAGAGGCTTTAGAGATGCCTAAGTCACAGTCCCAAAAAACCACCTAAAAGTCAAGGCAACATATATTTAATCAGAGAGATGGGAAATAAACAGAGTAACATATGATATATTCAATGGTGATGAGTATTTACAAGTATCATATCTAAAATATCTTGTGTCTTTATTGTTTGATCAATTCACTAATATATACTCTATTCTTTAATATGTACAGTATTTAGGTCCAGAGGTATATCTCAGAGGTAAAGCACCTGCCTAGCATGTGCCAGCACCAAAAAAAAAAAAAAAAAAAAAGTACAGAATTCTGTAATAACAATTTAAGTTCTGGCCAGGTACAGCAGCATGCACCTGTAATTCCAGCAACTGGGCAGGCTGAGGCAGGAGGATCACAAGTTCCAGGCCAATCTAAGCAACTTGGGGAGATCCTGTCTCAAACTAAAAAAATAAAAGGGACTGGGGGTGTAGCTCAGTGATAAAGCACCCCTGGGTTGAATCTATGTACCAAAAAAGAATTTAAGCTCTGAAATTAAGACTGCTTGGGTTGAATTTCAGCCCCACCACACTGTTTCCTTAAGCTTTCTCAAAGGATTGTTGTGACACATAAGTTAGTATATGTAAACGGCTTAATTAGTATCTATCCATGTATTTAATAAATTCACCTTTAGGAGACCTCCCTAACCATCCTTTTTATTTTATTTTTTTTTAGTTGTAGTTGGAAAACAATACCTTTATTTTTTTATATTTATGTGTTGCTGAGGATCAAACCCAGCGCCTCACACATGCTAGGCAAATGCTCTACTGCTGGGCCACAACCCCAGCCTCTCCCTAACCATCTTTTTAAAATTGAACACCTTGGGCTGGGGATGTGGCTCAAGTGGTAGGGCGCTCACCTGGCATGCCTGCGGCCCAGGTTCCATCCTCAGTACCACATACAAACAAAGATGTTGTGTCCGCCAAAAACTAAAAATAAATATTAAAAATTCTATCTCTCTCTCTCTCTTAAAAAAAGAAAGAAAAAAAAAAGAGTTCAAAGCCAGCCTCAGCAACGGTGAGGCACTAAGTAACTCAGTGAGACCCGGTCTCTAATAAAATACAAAAATTGGGCTGGGAGCATGGGAGGATTAGACAAACTCTAGATAGAGCAAAGGAAAGGGAGGGGAAAGGAGGGAGCATGGGGGGTAGGAAAGACGGTGTAATGAGATGGACATTAAGTACATGTATGAAGATAGGAATGGTGTGACTAATTTGTGTATAACCAGAGATATAATAAATTGTGCTCTATATTTATAATATGAATTATAATGCATTCTGCTGTCATATATAACAAATTAGAATTAAAAAATCTTGGGCTGGGGATGTGGCTCAGTGGTTGAGTGCCCCTAAATTCAATTCCTGGTCCCCCCCCCCAAAAAAAAAAAAAAAAAAAACAACTTAAGTACTCTATTACTGAGCTACACTTCCAGCCTGTGTTCAGGGATCTTTATGTGTTTTATTACACTGCTAATCCTCAGCACCTTATAATTGTTGACTTAATTAAAACAAGCTACAGTAATTGCTATTATTGTTACTTAAGTTTAAGAATAGCATTGTTACTTGAGTTTAAGAATAGAATTAGGTTTTCAACAATCCATTGCTAAGAAGTATTGTCAATTAGATTTTTAAAAATCCCTTTTTATGGGGAAAGGTGTGGCCAAGTAATACAGCCTGTGCCCTGGGTTCCATTTCCAGCACTGGGAGGGGGGAAGGGTCACTCTTTAAACAACAATTAGGAAACATAAAAACTGCTCCTAATAATTCGTGTGGCCTGAACTTGGATTGTTAAAACATTTTTAATACATTGCAAAATAAGTTAATTAGTTCTATGATTATTTTGCTTGTCACAGAACAAACTTTAAGTCTTCTTTCTCTTAGTAAGTTAATCCTAGTCAATACTATGGCATTCACCTCTTCACTCAAGGCCATCCAAGACTAAAGATACGAGTTATCTAAAGAAACAATGCCAGTTTTTATCTATACTGTGTAAAATGTTCTAAAACTATCAGCATCACTGAAGAGCCTCTAAGACTCACACCCCAGGCCAACTGAATAGGAATCTCTGAGGGTAGGGGTTAGGAAATTGTGTTTTAACAAAGTCCAAGTGAGGTTTGAGAAGCCCTGCTCTATAGCAACTCTGAGTGCTCTATAGATCGGAAATAAATTTCAATTCGCGTCCGAATAACTGGAAGACAGTAGAAAAGATTGCTCAGGGATTCCCCGCCCCCAGGGTTCAGTTTTATGCTACTGCCTTGACGTTCTCTATCCACCCTTCGGCCTTGTTCTTACCAGCTAGATTGTTGTAGCAGTCTGTCTGGGTCGTATGCAGAATATTTTCTTGTTCAGGTGTGAGAGCCGGGCCCTGAGGTCCTAGATTAGGTATCGGGGAGGGAAGACTTGGATCCAGACCCCGCAGCTGAAGCAGAGCTCGATGGTACCTACTCACTGCATCACGGTACTTCCCTTCCCGATAGCGCTGGTTCCCTTCCTCCTTGTATAGCTGAGCCTCCTGCAGGCGTTTCTCCATAACTCTTGGTCGCCCACTGCTCTAGTGGAACTGGGAAGTGAAAGAGCACTGAAACTCTGGGCTTGGGATCAAAACAATTGATTTTGGTAGCCGACTTGATTACTCTTCTCCAGGAGAGACCCCGGGAGGGAAGCTTTGCTTGTTTCTAGCCACCCCCGACACCACTTCTCTGCAGTCTTTGTCAGTCTCCAGAAATGCAGGAAATTAGTTAGGAAAAGAATGTGGGAAAAATGAAGCCAAAGATTAAGTGATTTCCTAAAGAATCAACCCTGAAGAAAAGAGACTCCGCGAAAAACTAACGGCCGTGCTAGGGAAATGCGGCAGGCGTGAGAACGCCGGCAGAATCGCTTCCCCCTTTCTTATGGACACACCCCCCCTGACCTGGAAGAAGAAGGGAGTAGGCGGTGACAGTTGCTAAAACACAAGAGGGCTTTCCTCCATCCCGGCTCTTTATTTGTCCTATTCAACAGGCATTTGTGGATTGTCTGTGCTGTGAGTTGAAGGTCCGAGGTGAATGACATCCGTGCTCCCTACCCTCAGGCGAGGCGGAGGAGGCCTGATAAGCGATCCAACTGCAAGGCACCATTCGCCCGGCCAGTTTATGGCGCCTAGCGGAGGCCAAGCCCGGAAGTCTCTTCCCGGGTTTCAGTTTAAGGGCGGGAGCACGGAGAGGAAAGAGTCTACCTTCCTGACAGTTTGGTAGCTAAAGGGTCGCGCGCATTGCGCCACACCATCCAATTAGAAGCGGCTCCGGAAAAGTAATCCCGCAGAAATGACCCCGCCTACCTTAGCGGACCAACCCGAAAAAAAAAAGATCCCCCTGGTCTCTTCGCCAATTGGAAAAATCCGAACCATCACGGATGACCAATGAGAGCGGCAGACGACGATTCAAGCTGGCCAGTGAGAGAGACATAAGGCGGGATCAGGGAGTCTGTTGCTAGGTAGAAGTTGAGACATTCACAGAAAAGGAAGGCCAAGGAACAGTGTATTTTCTGGTTCTGGAGAGCCTTTTGCCTACTAGTCACTAAAACAACTGCTTTCATGCTGCAACAGCTTCCTTTACAGCTTCTAGTTACTGTCAAGACGCTGTTGCATACACAGGAGTAGGGAAGACAAGCCGCCGAGCAAGCAGTCCTAAGACGCTGTGGCGACTGGAAGTGAACCCGGAGTACAAGTGGTGAGAGAGTTGGAGGGGCGCGTGATAGGGGAGTTCCGGGCGGCTGCGCAAACCCCTGGCTGAAGTACGGAAAGACGAGCGCGCACACTCTTCCTTCCTACGAGGCACTTGATCCGCAGCCAGCCTGGCCCATCTCGGACCCTGCTGCGGCTGCGCGGTAAAACCATTGTCGCTGATTGGCCCGGGGAGCGAGAGGGGCGGGAGGAGGAGGAGGAGGAGGAAGGGAACTCCGTCGTCCTCGGCGCGCGCCCGCCCGCGGTAGGGAAACTGAAGGGCTGGAAGGGAAGCTGCTCCCAGTAGCGTTGTTTTGGGCTCCTTGAGGCAAAAGGGGGAGGGGAGGAAGAAGGCGACACAAACACTACGCAGTGGGGACTGCGCGGCCTCCGCCACTGCGTGCGTGCGTGCGCTCGCTCGCGCGGGCCCAGTGCTGGCGCGTGAGGCGGAGGCGGGCGGCGGCGGCGCCTGCGCGGTCGGGCTCGGTCGACGGTTCGCAGGGGAGGAGGCGGCGGGAGGCGGAGGAGGCGGCGGCGGCGATGGAGGTGAAGCGGCTGAAAGTGACCGAGCTGCGGTCTGAGCTGCAGCGGCGGGGCCTGGACTCGCGCGGCCTCAAGATGGATCTGGCGCAGCGGCTGCAGGAGGCGCTGGACGCCGAGATGCTCGAGGACGAGGCTGGCGGTGGCGGGTCCGGGCCCGGCGGGGCCTGCAAGGCGGAGCCTCGGCCTGTGGCCGCGCCGGGCGGCGGCCCGGGCGGAGACGAGGAGGACGAAGAAGAGGAGGAGGAGGAGGACGAGGAGGCGCTGCTTGAGGACGAGGACGAGGAACCACCCCCTGCTCAGGCCTCGGGCCAGGCCGCGCAGCCGCCGCCAGAGCCCCCGGAGGCGGCAGCCTTGGAGGCCGCGGCCGAGCCCGATGCTTCCGAGAAGCAGGCAGAGGCCACCGCCGGGTCAGGTGGCGTAAATGGTGGCGAAGAGCAGGGCACCGGCAAAGGGGAGGAAGACGAACCCGAGGAGCGGAGCGGGGATGAGACCCCAGGATCCGAGGCTCCGGGTGACAAAGCCGCAGAGGAACAGGGTGAGGAGCTAGCAGTGCCCGACTCCAACCTGCTGGGTGCACCCCTTATCCAGCACCTCGCCCCGCGTCGCGGGTTCGATCCCTTGTTCCCACTTACCTGAAAGTGCACGATTCCCGATGGGATAGTGGCTTTCATCCTCTGCCCACCTTTCTGAGTGGTTTGGCTACTTCTGTGGCTCCACTGTTTGCAGGAGGTTAGGTTCCAGCCTAACTTGGTTCCTTAGTACTAATGGATGAAAGAGTTATTTTGCCTCAGAACTGCTTGAGAGCTACCTGTGGAGCAGTCTCTCTCAGTGTTCCTTACCTTTTTCATAGCCAAGGAATTGGTGATTATGGGGGACAATTGACAGTTGCAGGCGTAGGCCTTTGAGCTGACTGTTGACTTTCTCACTGTAAAAATATTAAGCAATAAATTAAGTCATCAAAGTTCTCTAGTCAAAAGCATATTGAGGGCTGAGGTTGTGGCTCAGTGGTAGAGCACTTGCCTAGCATGTGTGAGGTACTGGGTTCAGTTGTCAGCACTGCATATAATTAAAGTCCATTGACAACTAAGAAAATATTTTTTAAAAAACATTGATAGATATTGAGCCACGCGGAGAATCTGGAAATTTAACCTTGCTCCTTGCCTGAGCAGTAGGGGACAGCCTCTAGTGTGAGCTTGTTGAGCTTAATAGTTAACTAGTGGAGAAAGTCTTAATCTGGTGCATTTGGAACAAGTAACTTGGCTAGGGCATTTATCTTGCCTGTATTCTTAGGACTAAATTTTAATCATCTTTCTGAGTCAGTGAATGGACATATTTGTAGATTTACTGTACAGGAACATTTCAGGTTCCAGACTTCCTGGATTGAAATGATTGAGGTTCTGGTTAGTCCTTTGAGTAACCTGGTGGGAGAGACTTTGTAGAGACTCCACAGAGAGTTAGTGACCTTTCTCCTTTTGAAGTGATTGGATGGATAGTTGATTCATAACAGTATCTATCAGGGAGGGAAGCTAGAGCTCCTTCCTTGTCTTACTGTAAATTGGGTTGCCTTAGTTCTTTTTATAATGTTTTTTTTAGACTACTACCAAGTTAATTGGAACCTATTTTACAACAGTCACACACACCTTGCAGATTTTGTCTGATGTCCTGGAACAAAAATCATATTATGTAACCTTTGACTTGTGTGTACTCAAATAGCACATAAAAAACATTGAAGGATAAAAGACTGCTTTAAAAAAAAATTAAAAGCTTTCTTAGGTTAGAAATTTAGCTCAGTGGTAAAGGGCTTGCCTGGTATGGAGGAAGCTCTGGGTTTGATCCCCAGCATCACAAAATAAATAAAAACCTTCTTAGTGTTGCAAAATATAAAAGTGTAAGGAAAAACTGTCCCCGACCCTTTTGTAAAGAACGTTGCTAAATATATGGCAACACCTTTCTGCCCCAAATTACCTGCAGTAAAGATGCAGTATTATTTATGGGTATCTTATGACTTGATGGTTTGCTCTTGCAACTTTTAGTTAAAAAAAAATTACCTGATTAAGAATATAGTTATGTATCATGTACTTGAGTTTATTTGCTGTATAAACCAGCCATGAGCAGCTATGCACTTTAATGCAGGAAAAGCAGACTCTAAAATTTGAGCTATTTATATCATGAATCTGGGAAAATATTAAAAATACTAAGTTCCTACCTTCAAATCTGGTAAGAATTGAAATAAAATTAACCTGAAGGTTTGTCAAAGATCTAGGAGTATTTTTGAGTGTGTGTGTGGTATTAACGGGGAAATCTGCAAGTTTGACCTGATTTAAGCAGATAAATTTAGAATGCAAAAATTGTCCAATTTTTATCAACTGCTTGACTGTAATTAGTCCATAATGTCCTCCCTCCCACCATAAAATTCCAGCCAATGACAGAAAGATAATGTTTGGAAATAAAATGTTCTATGGATGCAGTGGTAATAACCTGACTATTTTGATTAGACAGATCCTCAGATCCCCTTTAGTTTCTATTGGTCTGAGCTTATTCTACACTCCAGTATGAAAACTGCTGATTTTCTTTCCCTCCTTTTTGTAGGAGATGATCAAGATAGTGAAAAGTCAAAACCAGCAGGCTCAGATGGTGAGCGGCGGGGGGTAAAGAGACAGCGGGATGAGAAGGATGAACATGGCCGAGCTTACTATGAATTCCGAGAGGAGGCTTACCACAGCCGGTGAGGGAAACAGTCCCTTTCCTTGAAGGGAGTGTCTACTCTAATTTTGGTATACCTGGTGTTGATTGGAGAGTCTGGAAGGAGGGGTGGATTAAAAATGGAATAGGTTTTTGTAGGCATAAGTTTTTAGATTGAATCTACCATAGAAGCTCCTATTGCCGTTTCTCATTTATTGAAAGAAGCTGTCTGCTGGGATTTGATATTCACTGAGAGTTTAAAATGGACATAATGTCCTGCAGACACCCCTCAAAGAACAGGACTTTGGTTACATTGTATTTGCTTTTCTCTCATGTATATAGCTCAAAGTCTCCACCACCTCCAGAAGAAGAGGCAAAAGATGAGGAAGAAGATCAAACTCTTGTGAACCTGGACACATGTATGTCTAAGGCAGATAGATTGGGGTTTTTAACTTATCTCCTAAAAATGATTCTGGGTATTAAAATTTCATGGCTAACAAATTCCAAGAGACTTTGTGTCCATTTGTAACAACTGGGCATATTTGTACACTTTTGGTGGATCTCATGTGTTAACCACTATAGTAAATCAATTCCATCTTTCTTTCTTAATAGATACCTCGGATCTCCATTTTCAAGTAAGCAAAGACCGTTATGGAGGGCAGCCACTCTTCTCAGAGAAGTTCCCCACCCTTTGGTCTGGGGCAAGGAGTACTTATGGAGTAACAAAGGGAAAAGTCTGCTTTGAAGCCAAGGTACTAGCTCATGAAGATCATTCATTTATTAAACTGTCTAGTGTCAAATAGGTTGTCTTCCATGGTTTTGGTTTAAGTTCAGTGAAAGTTATTCCAATATTCAATTTTAATAGTTGTCATTTTTTGTTTGTATAAAAATTGTCTTTTAAGGTGGGCATGGTGGCACATATCTATTATCCCAGTGACTTGGGAGGCTGAGGCAGAAGGATCACAAGATCAGCCTCAGCAACTTATTGAGACCCTGTATCAAAAAGGAATGGGAATGTGGCTCAATGGTAGAGTGCCCTGGGTTCAGTTCCTAATACCACCAAAAGAGATGTGTATTTCTAACTCAGACTTTGCTCCTAAGTTAGAGTATGTAAGAATTCCTTTTCTGACTTAACCAGGTAACCCAGAATCTCCCAATGAAAGAAGGCTGCACAGAGGTTTCTCTCCTTCGAGTTGGGTGGTCTGTTGATTTTTCCCTTCCACAACTCGGTAACATTATTTTGTAACTTCTTTGCTTGTGTTTGCTAACATGTTGCTTAGTCTGTGGGAACTTTGGGGATAGGTGACTGATTTGTTGACTGTTCTAGGTGAGGATGAATTCTCTTATGGTTTTGATGGACGGGGACTCAAGGCAGAGAATGGGCAATTTGAGGAATTTGGCCAGACTTTTGGGGAGAATGATGTCATTGGCTGCTTTGCTGTAAGTATTCCTGAAGCTGTAGATTGA